GAAGTTGCAAAATCCAAGGAAGCTTTGAACATCCTTGATGGAATTTGGAGCCTTCCATTCAAGAATAGTTTGGATCTTGTCTGGTGCCATGGAGATCCCTTTGTCAGACACAATGAACCCCAAAAACTCAATGGAGGTCTTGTGGAATTCACACTTCTCCAGCTTTGCATAGAGGTGATGCTGTCTGAGTCTCTCCAAGACAGTCTTGACATGTCCCATATGGCTTGCAGTGTCAGATGAAAATACCAGGATATCATCCAGGTAGACAATGACAAAAAGGTCCAGAATATCCCTGAAGATGTCATTCATCATGCCTTGGAAAATAGCTGGAGCATTGGTAAGTCCAAAGGGCATGACCAAGTACTCAAAGTGACCGTATTTGCATCTGAAGGCAGTCTTCCATTGATCCTGGGGCTTAATTCTGACCAAATTGTAGGCACCTCTGAGGTCAATCTTGGAAAATATCCTTGCATGGCTCAGTTTGTCCAGTAATTCAGAGATGAGAGGCAGTGGATAGCGGTTCTTGACTGTCATCTCATTGAGATCTCTGTAGTCCACACAGGGTCTCAGTCCCCCATCCTTCTTCTTGACAAAAAAGATGGGAGCTCCAGCTGGTGACTTGGAAGGTTGGATGAATCCCTTGTTCAGCATTTCTTCAATGTATTCTTGGAGGGCCTTGGCTTCTGGTGGAGAGAGGTGGTACAGTGGCTTGAAAGGTGGGCTGCAAGTTTCATCCTTGAGTGGGATTTCACAGTCATAAGGCCTCTGAGCTGGTAGCAGGTCTGCCTTGGTCTTGGAAAACACATCAGCATAAGGGAGATATTCTTTTGGTAGCTTGGATGCCAGCAAAAGGTCTGATGGGTCCAGGTTGTCGTGCTCCTCAGCAGTGGGGCTTGAATTCTTGACTGGGAACTGTGATTCTTGAATCTTTGACTGAGAGTTCTGTTCTTGGCAAAGACTGTGAGCTGTGGAACTTGAATCTTGAATGTGGACTGTGAACTGTGGTACTTGAATCTTTGACTGTGGGTTCTGTGAACAAGAGTCATGGCCATGACTGTGAGCTCTATGAGCTCTACTTGAATCTTGACTGTGAACTGTGAACTGTGGAACTTGAGTCTTGGCTGGCTGTGAATCTTGAATCAAGGGCTTGAGAGCATGAGACTTGGGGGCTTGACTTGAGTTTTGGGTGACTGTTCCAATTGGTGGAGGTTGGACTTGACCAGTGACCCAATCAATGGCAGGGTTCTGGGCTTGCAGCCATGGTAATCCCAGGATGACAGAGAATGTGGGTGAGCCAAGATCCAATACTTCCAGATTGACCATGGATGGTGGAAAGTCTTGGATGTGGAGGTTTAGCTTGGTTTCATGGCTGATTTCCTTGAACAGAGCATGATTGGCAAAGTGGACCTTGAGGGGTGTGGATTTCTTGATCGTAGGAATGGCACAAGACTTGGCAAGGGTGGCATCAATGATGTTGCAGGATGATCCAGAGTCTATAAGGGCCTTGGTTGTGATGGTTGACTTGGGTGAGAGTTGAATCTTGACATCCATGGTGAGTTGGTGGGGCTTGGAATCTGAGGTGTTTGTGGTGCTGGTGGTGGTGATGAAACAGGGGCAGCTTGGAGGAGGGTCCAGGGAATTGCCCCTCAGTGAGCCTGGACCTGGGAGTTTGGGTGCTTCTTCCTTGGGCAGTCCTTGACAGCATGCTCCTTGGAGCCACAGTAAAAACACAGTCCCTGCTGGGCCCTCCTTGTTTTCTCCTCTTGGCTCAGAGGACCCTTAGGAAGTGTCTCAACTGCATCCACTTGCATGGGTTCAGGAACTGTAAGAGCTTGAGGAACTGGGGTAGGTCTTGATGTAGTTCCTACTTGTCTTTGCTTCAGCCTCTTGGAGTAGAGTCTGTTGTCAATCTTGATGGCAAGGAGAATGTACTCTTCCAAGGTCTCAGGGATGTGCAGAGACTGGGAGAGCATGTCTTGGATAGACTCATGGAGACCATCATGGTACAGCTCCATCAGAGCTGCATCATTGTATCCAGAGTCTCTGGCTAGTTGCTTGAATTGGTTGGTGTAGGCCACACAAGATTGCTTTCCTTGCTTGATATGCTTGAGCTTGGATCTTGCTGTCCAAGATGCGTAGGGGTCACCAAAGGTAGCTTCCAGCCCCTCCCAGAGCTCTTGCAGGGTGGTGGGTGTGCTTGGGAGAGATCTGTACCATGATTGAGCTTGACCAGACAGGAGGGTGCTTGTGAAAAGAACCTTGACTTGCTCACTGGGAAATCTTGAAGGTTGGAGAAGGATGACATTCTCCACAGTGGCCATGAAGTTCCTAAGGTCTTTGGCCAGCCCAGTGAACTTGTCAGGGCTGGGAACCTTGGGCTCTCTTGCTTGGTTGGCTTGAGGCAGGGGAAGAGCTTGATGTTCTTGTTGGTGAAGTTGTTGTTGAAGCTGGTGCTGCTGGTGAAGGACTTGTTCTTGAAGTTGGTGTGTCTGTCTTGAGAGGGCTTGTAATTGGTCCATCAAGGCTTGGAAGGCAGTTGCATCAGGGAAGGTGTTGTTTGGGTCAGACATGATGGCAGAGAGTAGTGGGAGAGGGTGAAGTGAATTATGATGTCAGGAACAGGGCAGGACAGGACAAGGCAGACAAGGAACTGAGAGGAGTGATGATTGTATTGGAAACAATAATTCACTTGAGGGATGGGACAGGTCCCCCATCCCCCTTTTATACCTTTTGAGAGTGTTCCTTGTCAAGACTCCAAGAAAGTTCCAGAAAGAGCAATTAGTAATGCAATGATACCAATGATACCAATGACAACAAGACAAGTCAGGAAAGCAAAGAAGGTTCCAGAAGGTTCCACAAGGTTCCATGAAGGAATGTTCTAGAAGGTTCCAGAAGGTTCCAGAAGGTTCCATGAAGGAATGTTCTAGAAGGTTCCAGAGGTTTCCAGAGGGTGATTCATAACACAGCTTGACTGAAGGAATAAGCAAACAACACAGGTGCGTAAACAAAGGCAAACTATGTGATCAGACACAACAATCACTGTCAGCACAGTAGCACCAACCTCATGAAGTTCTTCAAAATCCAATTGCGAGCGCAATCAGTAAAAGCAGCTTTGACTAAGCATTGCGCTGACCGGGAATTGAACCCGGGGCTGATGCTATCTCCCACGGGTGGAAGGCGTCTATTTTACCACTAAACTACCAGCGCCTTTTTAAGTCACTTGGGGTTGTCGTTCCAGTACCCATCCTGTTGCCAACCAATGCCAAGCATCACGTTCCTTCCAATGGTTGCCACCATTGGCAGCACTTTAGCCAGCCATCTCACCCATAGTTAGGAGCTCAAAAGCACTTGTTCATACAGGTTTGACAAATGGCCAATGCCACCAGTGCCAAAGTCGTGCAAACAACAAACTGGAATCAACAGAAGGTCCTTGGAGGCAGAATGAGGAGCTCTACTGAGGATGGAGGTGGAGCAGCTCAGGTTCCAAAATCAATACAATTTCGCTATTTGTGACAAAAAGGGCCTTAACGGTATTGAGTTGTGTAGTAGCTCAGTGGTGATGGCACAGCTGAATCTGTGTGCTGACCCAGAGCCCAGCAGAGGAGCAGCAGTGTGAGCACCTCCCCTGTGCTCCCCAGTGTGCCTCACCAGGAGAACAATCTTCCTGCCATATGCCTGTACAGAATTGCCATTTCTCCTTTGAAGGAGAAAGTGCTCTGACCAGCCAGTGGAAGGGAATGGGGTGCTCTGGGTGAGAGTCGAACTCACGACCTTCGGATGACTGTGTGGAGGAGCACCTGTGCAACCAGGTGTGTCATGTATGAGACCGACGCTTTAACCAACTAAGCCACCAGAGCCGTCGCACAAGTGGGTGCACTGCATGTCTTGTCGTGTGCCTGCCATTTCCTCACTTGTTTTAGTGGAACATGGCTGGAGGATTCTCCTCATGCCACGCAATCACCATGCAAGTTTTGTTAGCTTTTGCTATTCCCAGATCGTCTAACGGTCAAGATTCCGCCCTTTCACGGCGGCGATCGGGGTTCGATTCCCCGTCTGGGAGCCATCAGTTGGACTTCACTTGCTGGACAGATCTTCCACTTCCAGGCTCAGACTCTAGTCCTGGACTGGCTTGGCGTTCACTTGACTGCCACTGGCTGCTTTTTTTCTGCTAAGTCACTTCAAATTGTTTCTGTGCTTTTTTCCTAGGATCTGATTTTGTTAGAAATTGAATACTCCATCACGCAAGCCAGTTGACGTGAATGAACAAACAGGAAAAGTGATTGTTGGTGCAAATTTCAGACCCTGTCCATCCCACAATCAACCCACCTCTGCAGTATTTCACCAGGCACGCCCCATGGATCCTTACTCAGGTGCCTGCTTTAGAAGCAGGAAATGTAAAGCCACCTCTGAATCAGTCTCATCTGGACCTGTTGCATGCACTCTCTGGCATAGGTGTGAGAATCTCCTACTTCTCCTGGCAGACCATGGAGCGTGGCGCTCCAGGACAATCCCTCTGGAGAACAGGTCGAGACAAAGTGTGGGGCTTGACAGCTGGGTGTGAGGAAGCAGCACTGTGTGCGGCGGCGGCAATCAAGCAGGATGCAATAGTGTTGTGGCAAATGCAATGGCAAAGCAGCAGTGATGCAGCAACAGAAATCCTCCTTGAGCTGACAGGGATGCTCTCTATGAGCTCAAATTTTTGGACGCCCCTTTCTCCTCTGCCACTTAAAATTCCCAAACTGACAAAAAGCACAAGCACACTCAGGCAAGCTGGTGCTTTCCAACTTGGCACCATTTCTTTTCATGAAAACAAACCAGGAGAATCACCTTTTTGGATGATTTAAATTTTGTGTTGGGCCATCGGCAAGCCAAAGCCAGGGACTGAAGTTGTCTGTGGATCAGTGCAATATGAGGCTGCTGCTGCACATCCAGGTTTGGAGCTGCCTGCAAGTGGCACTGGTAAGTACCAATTGAAAGTGGCCTATTGGCCAGGAGGCACAGACAACGTGGCCTGAGCGGTTAAGGCGACAGACTAGAAATCTGTTACGGTTTCCGTGCGCAGGTTCGAGTCCTGCCGTTGTCGGACAGAGTGTTGCAAAACCAGCTTGCTCGGCTCCTCTGTTGTAGTTATTGCCTTAGTTGCGCATAAGGTTGTGTGGGTGGAAGGTTAGATCTGCTCTTTTTGGATGCAGCTAGTTGGGTGCAGTTAGCCCCAAAGCACCAGAATGCAGCTGCCCTTGCAGATGTGGGAGGCCTGGCCAAAGTTAGCTTGTATGCCACGCGTGCAGCAATAAAACATACATACTGGATATCCATTTTGTCTGGGAATCCACCCATATCTGAGCAAAAAAAAAAAAAAAACAGGCTCATATCTGCCTCATCTGTATGTGCCTGTGTTTTAAAGAGGATACAGATATTCCCCTTTGATCAGGATCTTGGATTATGCTTCTCTGGACCTGATGCAGCTGGGGATCTGTATTTCATACTGCAGAAGATCTTGGGAATGGAATTGGGGTAACTGTGATTGCATTTTATTGCTGAGAGGTTGATTTGACTTAAAGAGTCATGCGTTTGGAAGTCCTAAAATAGTGATGGAATCATACAAGCCAAAGGCGCTAATGTGGGCGTGTGGCAAAATGGTTACCGCGCTTGACTACGAATCAAGAGATTCCAGGTTCGACCCCTGGCACGCTCGTGTCACTCTGTCTGCAATGGGCAGATTGTGAGACTTTTCATGGCCTGTGGGTATGGTGTCAGCCTTAATTGACAGGTCAAGTACCCAGTTTCTAGGTTGCAGCAGAGAGGTTGAGGCACTTCTGAAAAAAGCATGGGGCTTTGGTCTAGGGGTATGATTCCTTCTTAGGGTGGAGGAGGTCCCGGGTTCAAGTCCCGGAAGCCCCCTGTGCATCTAATTCCACCCTGTGGACTTGGATGGTGTGAAGCCACTCAGGTGGAGAATCTTGATAGACTGCTGCAATCACTAGTTGTTGTTGCCAGTGACAAGGGGGGGTAAAGAGAGAAGTGAGCAGACCATGAAGGGATTGGAAGGTCACCAGCTGGGAACTTGTGCATGGAAACACAAGCAATCGAGAATGCACCAAACCCAACCGCCCACAGCCACATCCACTCGACTTGACCAACAGGCTTTATCACATGTGTAAACAGTCTACTCTGAGTGGCAAGTGTGTCAGGAACAGGGCAGGACAGGACAAGGCAGACAAGGAACTGAGAGGAGTGATGATTGTATTGGAAACAATAATTCACTTGAGGGATGGGACAGGTCCCCCATCCCCCTTTTATACCTTTTGAGAGTGTTCCTTGTCAAGACTCCAAGAAAGTTCCAGAAAGAGCAATTAGTAATGCAATGATACCAATGATACCAATGACAACAAGACAAGTCAGGAAAGCAAAGAAGGTTCCAGAAGGTTCCACAAGGTTCCATGAAGGAATGTTCTAGAAGGTTCCAGAAGGTTCCAGAAGGTTCCATGAAGGAATGTTCTAGAAGGTTCCAGAGGTTTCCAGAGGGTGATTCATAACAAAGTGGAAGGAGTGAATGAAGTGGAGATGTGTGCTTGTTGGTGGTCCTTCTCCCCAATTTGGAGAGAAAAGAGAAAAACTCTGTTATGGATAATCTCCCCAACTTGGAGAGAAAGAGAAAAACTAGTAACCTCTTTTTTCTGCCACACATTCCTGCCACACCCACATCATCAAAAAGTCAGGGCGTTTGTCATTTTGGAGGGTCAAAGATTAAAACGAAAGAGCTTTGCATAGATCCTAGGTCGTCTAATGGTTAAGATTCCACCCTCTCACGGTGGCGATCGGGGTTCGATTCCCCGCCTGGGAGATTTCTGCAGTGGTCCAGACTACAAAGGCAGATATTTAAATCTCTTGTTCAATGGGTGTGGAACACTTGTCACCGTTGGTCAAAAGGTGTTTGCTTTCCCAAAGCAAGCAGCTAAGTGGCAGTTGTTCCTGGGCTTGTCTTATTCTTTCCACTAATTATTGGACATTTTGAATTCATCCTGCTGGCAGGTTTTCCCCATAGAGCAGCACCAAATCAACATGGAATTGCTGTTGCACTAGGTAATGTCCTCTCGCAATGAAGTGATCCGACAGTTGGGAGGGGGGGTAGGGGGAGAATTTGCATAGTCGGTCCAGACCCTTTCCCCAAATGCTTTTCCGTTCTTATTGGGAACGATTCATCGTCTTTCCTGTTTTACCTTAAATTTGTACAGAAACGAAAAAACTGTCTTCCTTTTTTTCCCCCCCTTTTTTCCTCTTTCTGGTCAGTTGCATGCAGCCTCCAAACTTTTCACCAACTTTTCAAGGTATCTTGAAACAGATAAATGCAGCCCCCATTTTACCACCCTGTTGGGCGGTCTGACTCTGGTTTGTAGCAATGTTTTTCTTTCATTGCAACAATGACTTTTCAATGGAAACAGCAATATTCAACATTCCTACCAATTGCAGTATTATGCATTTTTGCACGATACTGACTGACACCACCCATATGCCAGCCAAAGTGTGCAAAATTTTGTCGTAGATAGAACCTGCACAGAATTTTTGTAAGTGTGACTAAGGTTTCAAACCCATACATATCATTGATAAATCACTTTTGAATATAGTAATTAAAGTTAAAGCTCCTTGTCCAAAAAAATTAAAGATTTCAAAAAGAGAACCAGCCACTTTCTAGATGCAAAGCTTTGTTAAACAATTAATTAGAAAATATGCAGGTATGTATTAATTTGAAACCTTAAGTGTGACAAGGCACATTCTTAAGTGGAGGGAGGGGCCGGTGAGCAACCACGCCGCCTCAGCACCCTCCTCAATCAGAACACAGCTTTTCTGTGGTGTGGTTGAACTTGGGTGAAAAGGACAATGTTTTCAATATTCTGGCCAGAAAGGAAGCATAGCAGAGAGTGCTGATGGGTCCAAAGATGCACAAGGGAGCGCCCGATGTGGGGGTCGAACCCACAGCCTTGTGATTGCAGAGACCCCTATCTAGGGTTAGCTAAGAGTCACACGCTCTACCGATTGAGCTAACCAGGCTGTACCTGATTCAGAAGCCACAAGTAATTTCATAGTCCTACCACCTTGCAGCAGGCCAGATTTCAGATCCCTTTTTTGCCAACGCTGACTAAAAGAAAAGCAGTTTTGAGTTTTAACTTTTTCAAGTGCCTATTTCATAATATGGTGGCATATGCTGCTGAGCATTTGAGGATGTCTCCCCTGTAAACTGGGCAAACTTGCGCAGAAAATCATTGAAAGGAGAGAAAAAGTGCCAACTCTGCAATGCAACAGGGACCATGCACCTTGCCTGCTTGACAAGAGAAACAACAAGGGTCATTGCCAGTCTTGACGCCATCAGTTTTGGTCAGAGTCTGGAAATGAGCAATAAAGGGACAGTGGTGGCCCAATATGCAAGTCCTGATGCAGTTGACAAAACTTGCACAGTGACTTATGAATGTGCCGTCTCCCGGGATTGAACCAGGTGCCTTAAGATAGCAGGGGGGCCACCGCACAGAACAGCAGGTGGCTTCTTCAGTCTTACGCTCTCCCAGATGAGCTAAGACGGCTATGAATCTTACCAACAAAAGAAGCATCCTCAACGTGAGTGCTGTGATCTTTCCATGTTTCTCCTTGGCCTCCTTGATACAGCTTCTGTTCAGCAGAATTTCCCCAGTTTCCCTCATTCTTGCTCAGCACTCTTTTAGTAGTGTCTAGTGATGGAGCAACCACAGCTGAACTCAATATTAGGACTCCCACATTGTGACTAATACCTAACGGTGCGGGGGCGCTCACATAAGTAGGAAGAACTGTGGCATCTCCTCTATGCTCCACTGATCCACTGATCCATCCATCCCTCAGGTCAGGTTCTACGTCTACATCCTTCCGTCTTACGAGCAGGGAGGCATTACGTAAATCTATTTATTATCTTTCATCGATGGTCAAAGTGTGGCTGGTATTTATTCATCATTATCGTCATCCATGTGAACAGAGCCAGAAGTAGATGGTTACTCTCCTGGGCGACATAAGGTCTAACCACAAGCAGGACTGGCGTACCAGCTCTGCACAAGTGCAAAGAGTCCAACCCAATGACAGGCAGCTCAAATTGTGTTATAGGAGGTTCAGAGGAGGCTCATTGGGTAGAACGGAAGGGGATTTCAGAAGAACACAATTGAATTTCTTAGAGATGGCATTTATTGAAGGGTGGGTTTGTAAAGTTAGGTGGGATTAATGAGGGTGCTCCCCCCAGGGCAGCTATTTATAGGGAGGGGGGGAATTAGGAAGAAAGAAGAAAAAAAAGCGGGAAGAAAGGAAGAAAACTGTTTGAAGTGCAAACAGTCCACTCTGAGTGAGGTAGTGGAAGGGGTGAATGAAGTGGAGATGTGTGTTTGTGAGAGAAAAATGAAATGATGGAAGAATTAAAAATTAATGACAAGGGCGGCACTGACAAGAAAGAAAAAATTATTGATAAGAAGCATTTATAAGATTGTGTAGCATATAAACAGGGGGCTCTCAAGTTACTCAGACGCTAATTGTAACTCAAGAGCCAAAGGGAGTTCTTTACAGTCTGCCACACACCAAATGGAGATAGGCCTGCCCCAACTTGATTCAATGTTTTGGACCCAAACACCAATTTTCTTGCTGTTGTCAGACATTTGAATTTGACATATTGCTAATTTTACATCAAATTTTGCCAACTTTGAATAAAATACGAAATGTCTATTAATGAAGTTGAATTGAATCGAATTCAAACATTGAACTATAAAATTTCCTCAAAGTCCAGTCCGATTCAGGTCTGCGGCAGACCCTAGAGCTCTTCTCACTATCAAACATAGTGAAGTACAGAGAGGGAAAAAAGTCCTCAGACACTCCGAATTTTCTGAATTCTCAGACAGAAGTCCATGGCAGAGAACTCTGTCAATTTCCAATATTTTGTTAGGAGATTTTGTACACTGATAGGGCACTAGTAGTCAAATACATTAGAGAATTTTGATGAGACGTCTGTGGCTCATTCTCCTGATAATAGGAATTTTACGTGAAAATTTTGGAAATGAGCTGCCTGTCAATTTTCACTCTTCTTAATCTGATTTATGCACTTTGCACACTGCAAACCAGTAGTACTGGTAAACAATCTGAAACAGATCACCACATACATAGCTTTGATATGATGAAATGGACTGTGGCATTTTCCAGCAGCTCCAGAAGTTGGAGAAGTCATTCACAGCAAAACTTGCAAACTTATTGCTTATTGGTTCAAAAAAAACTTCTGATCACACGAAGCTTGCAACTTATTCACCAAAATGTTTCACAAGCGCCTATCTTCTTCAGCAGCGTCTCTAAAGAGGCTTCAAATGGGAAGGTATTTGAGTTTAGAAATTGCATGTTTGCAAGTTATCTGGTTGCTCCAACCTTCTTTTGCTGCTGAAAATCACACAGTGTATTCAGTTTCACACTTGGTATTTGAAAAATGATGCGCTATCAATCAGCTCCTGTTGAGGCATTTTCGTCCAAACTGCTCAAAGAGAGCAACTCAAGAGGATCTGTCTATTCCCAGTGTTTTCCTATTTGATTGCTATTATCTGGGGACTGAGCTGCTGCAACTTCATAAAATTTTTTAGCAGCATATCACTCCACCAAATTCCTAATTGTGCTCAAAGTTTGGCATCAAAAGATTGAGAACTGGGAAAGTTTTGTATATTGGGCTTCTGTGAAGGACGCTGGAACTTTTTGCACTTTTCCCCCCAACTGTACAATGGAATTAGAAGCAGGAAGCTTGACAATTAGTCTGAATATTTAGTCTGCATAGTAGAAAATTTCTGAGTAAACTTAATAAGAAGGGCAGAGATTGGATATCTGTATCTGCTTCATGTCTGCAAGAAAACCAGGATAATGAGAAGCACATGTAAAGGGGCTATCTGCTACCGCCTTTTTGGATGACAGCCTTAAATAGTCTGAGTATGTAGCAGTGGTTCTGAAAAATTAATTGTTTGGTGGGAAATGCCACATCAGAGTAATTTTTTTCGCAAAGGCCTCCAGAGGAAACAATGGCTGAAAGGCAAAAACAGTGGGTGGAAAGGAGGCTGCCCTCACCATAAGACCTTGTCAGTGATCTGTCCTTCTTAAATCATTCCCAATTGTTGTTCCAATTTTTCCAGTAATTGAACTGGCTCCCTCATCAATTGGAAGAAAGAAATTCAATTGGTAATTCGATTATAGGAACCCATGGTATGTAGTGGAAGAGAAACCCAGTGTAAACAGTTTTCCACCTCTTCTGCCAAGCAGATGATTATGGGTTGGTTACTCTCTCCCAGTGACTTTTATTACAGCTTGGGTGTTTGGCTCACAAGGATTCACATTCCAATCATTCTGCCTGGAATTTTTCTGGTTAATGTGCATTAGAGGAAACTTTAAAGCCACCAAAACGTTCTGCTGAGGTTTTGTTTGATTCTGCAGGCTGTGCCCCGCTAAAACCAGCCTGTTAAGCAACAGTGAACCTGTTGGGTTAGCCAAACCCCCAAGCCTTAGCTATTATAGCATGCATATCATCATTATGTTTCAATTACTCAGAGCAGAGTTTTCCTGCTCTCCAAGAAGGACTCTTGACAAACTCACAAACACACATGTCAATGAGTTCTGTATATACAGCCAATTCGACATGGGGAATTAGCTCAAATGGTAGAGCGCTCGCTTAGCATGCGAGAGGCACGGGGATCGATACCCCGATTCTCCAAAAAATGCGTAGCCAATTTCAGGGGTATGCCTCTCTGCCAGTGTGATGTTTTGAAGGCACAAAAGTTACTTGCTGCTTGGTCAGAGGATAGACCAAAGGACTGTGTTGGGTAGGGCTCAGCAGTCAGCCAGTTTTGACCCTGATCCTTATCCAAACTGGAATTTTTCTGACTGACTTTTGAGGAATCCGCCTGAAAACTTGCAGGGACCCTGTGGATCTCCATATACAGAGGGCTCTTTTTCGGGAAACCACAAGGGCAGACGCAGAGCGTTTTCCTGGATTGTCCGCCCCAAGTCTGTACTGCACAGCCTTAAGAATGAATGGCTTTTTCCCAAACCAATTGGGTTTAACACAGGTTGGGCTGGATTTGCAATTTGACTTGATTCAATTTGGGTTTCCACACTCAAATGACAATTTTTTGCAGTATGCCAGACATTTGATTCGCCAAATTAGGCATTTTTAGGCTGAATCACCCCTAATAGGGCAGACATTTGAAAAAATACTTATTAAAAAGCTTTGAATCAAACGCAAATGGCTGATTTTGGCAAACAATCATTTGATTTGTTTTGATTTGATTTTTTGAATCAGACCCAAATCAGACCTTTTTTTCATACAATTCAATTCATATTGTAAACAGTCTACTCTGAGTGAGTGAGTGGAAGGAGTGAATGAAGTGGAGATGTGTGTTTGTGGGTAGTCCTTCTCCCCAACGTGGAGAGAAAGGAGAAAAACTCTGTTATGAATTATTGATACATGATGATGATATACACGCTGTAATAGTTGCTAGGCAAGCGTGACCGGCACAGGGTAAAAACCTCTCCTATATTATCTGCTTGAGCAGAGGAGGAGGAAAACTGTTGACACCTGGGTTTCCGTTCCACTTAATACTCAGAGTATTTGTCAACAGTGCAAGCCAGCGCCCAGATCTGCATTGGCGGTGGCTCGCTCTCCCATGGGCATCGTGAGAACGATAACTGACAGTCACAATAGGTTTGGGTCCGTCTTGTGCCTCTTGCCGCTAAAAAGTGAGTCCCGCCTAACGCATATTAAACCCTACAAACCGAGCTGATGAGGTTGAAAGAGTTTCATAACCAGAGGTAAGGTTTACCAACAGTTTTACCAGGATTTTGCTGTTGTTTTTTTTTTCGGTTTCGAGACAGCAAGGGACGGCTTATAGCTTGCCTTATAACAGAGTGTATGGGGTATGTGTGCAGAGCAGAGTGCACAGCAAGCAACCATCTATTGTATGTTGCAATCAATGGTAATCACTAAGGTTCCAAGTCAACACACGACAGACGATAAACGATGCGAC